CACGCCCTCTGTGCCCGTGGGAGGTCCCTTGAGGGCGGACCGAGGGCCCCTCGTCCCCACCCGCAGACACCCTTCAGGTCATGTACTGATGTATCAAGTGCCTACCTGTCTACTGTATTTTTGCATCTGGAATAACATATACTTGGATTTTCAGGGAAATTCCCGTTTTACAGACTCCTTAGGGCATAGTCTCCCAGCACAGGAGACCCCAATTATTATTGTGATTGTGTTAAATATTAAGTGTTAACTATTCTATAACATTTAAAAAGAAGTTTGCGCCGAAACCTGTTTGGCTCAGTGGATAGAGCATCAGCCTGCGGACTGAAGGGGCCCAGGTTGGATTCCGGTCAAGGGCATGTACCTTGGTTGTGGGCACATCCCCAGTGGGAGGTGTGCAGGAGGCAGCTGATTGGTGTTTCTCTCTCATCGATGTTTCTGACTCTCTATCTCTCTCCCTTTCTTTCTGTAAAAAATCAGTGAAATATATTGTCTTTGAATATATCACCATCGTGTCCATTTTAATAAATGGTTATTTCTAATAAAGCTGGTACAAACGTTTTTGTGTTATTCTTTTCATGGATACTTTTTGGGTTTAAAAAATAAAAAAAAGAAGTTTGTGTCTATTGTTTTAAAATATATATATTTTGTTGATTTTTTACACCGAGGAAGGGAGAGGGATAGAGAGTTAGACACTTCAATGAGAGAGGACCATCTCAGCTGCCTCCTGCACACCCCCCACTGGGGATATGCCCACAACCAAAGTACATGCCCTTGACTGGAATTGAACCTTGGACCCTTCGGTTTGCAGGCCGACGCTCTATCCACTGAGCCAAACCGATCAGGGCTTATTTTTACTTTTTATCCAATCCCAGAGATTTCCCTCCTTAACCCTCCCCCCCTAATTTATTACCAGTGAATTTAATGTAACCCCCTTATGTCTTCTCCTTTGAGTCTAAGGTTTAAAAAAGGTGCAAAACTGCCGTTCTCCCACCTCAATGCGTGTGTGTGTGTTTTGATATTGTTTGTTTATTTGTTTGTTTTGCTTCCTGGCAATGTTGCAGGCTTGGGTCAGATAAACAGAAAAATTCTCCACAGGTTTGGACATTTCTTAAAACAACACTAAAAGCAATAGATTTATGTGATGCAGGAGGAAGTTACGCGGAGGGATTTCAGCATTTCCAGGGAAACCACTGACAGAAGATAGATTTATAAACACAAATTTAGAGCAGATACAGGACCCAGCAAGCTAGAGCTTTCCCATTGCTTTCAGAGAACAACAAAAATGCTCAAATCTCAGGTGACTTTGATTTTATTGTTTGTTTGTGTGTGCATAATCCACAGGGAAGGAATTCTTTCTTTTCTTTTTTCTTTCTTTTCTTTTTTTTTTACCTTTCCACACCTTCCCTTCTGAGATTCTTCATTCCATTCCATGCTTCCATGTCCCTGAATTCACTCCATTCAACAGGATTTTTTAAAAAATATATTTTATTGATATTTTACAGAGAGGAAGGGAGAAGGATAGAGAGTTCGAAACATCGATGAGAGAGAAACATCGATAAGCTGCCTCCTGCACACCCCACTGGGGAAGTGCCTGCAACCAAGGTACATGCCCTTGACCAGAAGCAAACCTGGGACCCTTCAGTCCGCAGGCCGACGCTCTATCCACTGAGCCAAACCGGGTAGGGCAACAGGATTTTTTTTTGTTAATTAGATTACATGTATGAGAGAGATGAAGTGATACTTCTAATTCTCTGACTGACTTATTTCACTTAGCAGGATGCTCTCCAGGTCCCTACATGCTGTGTGAAAGGAGAAGAGAGTCTTCATTTTTACTGCTGCATAGAATTCCATGGTATAAATGTACCACAGTTTTTTATCCAATCATCTACTGATGGGTACTTGGGCAGTTTCCATAACTTTGCTATTGTAAATTGTGCTGCCATGAACATAGGGGTACATACTATCTATGTGAACGTTTCAGGTGTCTTAGGATATATTCCTAGGAATAGAATCACTGAATTAAATGGCAGTTCCATATTAAAATTTTTGCAAAAACTCCAAACTGATTTCCATAATCGGTGTACCAGTTTGCATTCCCACCATGGTTGTACGAGCGTTCCCATTTTTCCACATCCTCCCCAGCACTTGTCATTTGTTGATTTGCTGATGGCAGCCATTCTGACAGTGGTGGGGTGATACCTAATTGTTGCTTTAATTTGCATCTCTTTGGTGATCAGTCACATTGAGCATTTTTTCACTTGTCTCTTGGCCATCTTATCCACACTGCAGCCCAGGCAGAGCTGACATTTTGGATGGCATCACAGCAGATGCTGTTAATTAATTATAAGTGTCTGTTTTGTGACATTAACTTTGAATAATGGATTCAGTGGAGGCAGGATAGAGGCAGTTAGAGACATGAGCAACTTCTGCAAGCTACATTTGACCTGATGGAGACACATGCCAAATGTCCTGAATGAAGAAACAATGCCTGCCATTCAGAAAGAGCTGGTCCTGTAAAAAAGGTATACAAAACCAGCCACGCGGGTACATGAGAAAGAAACTTGCCCTCGAAATCACGTCCCTTGAAAGCGCTTGAGGGGCCTGAGTATACTCGGTGTGATCTTGGGATATTTGCCCCTAAATACAGTCCTGTAGTCAGCTGAGGAAACAGGGGATCCTGGCCCTGGAGCGGAGAAACTACATTACCCAGAATGCCACGCACGGCATGTCATCAGACTGAGCCAATGGAGGGTCAGAGAAGGCATTTCCGTTTGGCCGCTTCTGTAGGGAGGGACCGGTAGTCCTCTTGATGAGATTTTGCCTTAGGTTTTTGTCCCAGGCGGTGAGGTTTTCCGTGTCCGCACTCCCGTGGAGAAGGCCGGAGAGTGCTGCCCCCCGCCTCACAGCCAATGGTCGGAGCCTCCAGTGGTGCTCACAGCTCCCACGTGGGATTGAAACTCGGAGTCACTGCCCGGACCCACGCCAGGGCCGGGACAGGGACCGCCGTTCCTGCAGCGGCTTCTACTCCCGCGCGGCTCAGCCCACAGAGGGCAATGGCGGCGCCCCCGCTGAGGAGACGGGCTGAGGTGAGTTCTTGTCTCCCGAGGCCTCCCCCGCCTCCTTACGCTGAAGTGGACAAGCCCGGGTGTGGCCCATTGTCACGTCCTGCAGCTCAGTCCCGCGTGGAGGACCGTGAGGAAGGTGGAGGGGGGAGAGGGGGGTTGTGG